AAACTTCTTATAAAGTGTTTTCCACACACTGTACAACTGTAAGGTTTCTCCCCAGTATGTATTTTATGATGCTCTTTTAAGGTAAAACTTCTTATAAAGTGTTTTCCACACACTGTACAACTGTAAGGTTTCTCCCCAGTATGTATTTTATGATGCTCTTTTAAGGTAAAACTTCTTATAAAGTGTTTTCCACACACTGTACAACTGTAAGGTTTCTCACCAGTGTGTGTTCTTTGGTGTTTTTTTAAAGCATCGTTTGTTCTAAATTGTTTTTCACAAAATCCACAACTATAAGGTTTCTCTCCAGTGTGTATTAATTGATGTGATTTTAAGTAATATTTTCTACCAAAGTGTTTTCCACACATTGAACAACTGTAAGGTTTCTCACCAGTGTGTGTTCTTTCATGTATTTTTAAGATACTCCTTGTTCCAAATGGTTTTTCACAAACTGCACAACTGTGTGGTCTCTGGCCAATGTGTATTCTTTGATGTAATTTTAAGTTATTCCTTGCACCAAAGTGTTTTCCACACACTGAACAAGTGTAAGGTTTCTCACCAGTATGTGTTCTTTGATGTACTTTTAAGACACTCCTTGTTCCGAATGGTTTTTTACAAACTGCACAACTGTGTGGTTTCTGCCCAATGTGTATTCTTTGATGTGAAATTAAGTTATTCCTTGCACCAAAGTGTTTTCCACACATTGAACAACTGTAAGGTTTCTCCCCAGTGTGTGTTCTTTGATGTATTCTTAATTCACCATTTGTTCTAAATTGTTTTTCACAAACTTCACAACTGTAAGGTTTCTCCTCAGTGTGTATTCTTAGATGTGATTTTAAGTTATTCTTCCTAACAAAGTGTTTTCCACACACTGAACAACTGTATGGTTGCTCCCCACTATGTACATTTTGATGACTTTTTAAGTTACCCTTTGTTCGAAATTGTTTTTCACAATCTGTACAACTATATGGTTTCTCCCCAGTGTGCATCCTTTGATGTGATTTTAAGTTACTGCTTGATACAAACTGTTTTCTACAAACTCCACAACTATATGGTTTCTCCCCAGGATCTCTTCTTTCATGTTGTTCTAAGGAACTATTTCTCTCAAAGTGTTTTGTATAAACTGCACAATGATATGGTTTCTCTCCAGATTGTATCCTCTGTTCTTGTGTTAGGTTATCCATTGTTCCATATTCTTCTCCACTGACTACACAACTGTATGTTTTACCATTACACTGAGGTATATTGAATTTGTTTAGGTTATTTCCATTTAAAGTTGTTTCTCCATATATACCACTGTTTGGTTTTGGGGAATTTCTAACTTCTATAAAGTAATCTTCTTGTTTTATAACATGATAACCAGGACTCTGACTTCCACAAAAGATGTTTACACTGGTCTTCGTATCTAAAATAGATATAAATGATGCCACATCATAGTTATTAATATATTTGATAAACTTCTAAGTATATTTAATATTCTCATATGATCAATACCAATATAAAAATTTTAAAGCTGAAAACTAATTGTGATGTACTTTTCATAGATTCACATTTTATAGAACCTTTTCTACCTGGATTAGAATAGCATTGATAACAAACTGAGGGTAACATTCCATGTCAAGAGAGGTTTTTGGAAGATAAAGTAAAATCACCTGTAGAAATATGATAGTACAATGTCACAACAACCGATGTAGTTTCAGCTAGTATCTCTGGATTAATGTTTAGAAATATTTTCTAACTTCAAATGTTTGATTATCATCAAATCTAATAATAATTTGTCTACTTTAAAATGTTAATTAACATAAATACTTTATACTTTTTGTTAAAATTTTTTATATGCAATAATAATTAAATATTTATAAATGCCAAGATTTATACATTATTGAAATATATTCAATATATATTTTTTTTTTTAACAAGTTTAGACACCGTCCCTCTGATCAGAAGCTGTTTGATTGCTGTCTTCAGCATGTAAAATTAATAGATTAGAGATTCTACACAGAAGATGTTCAATAAATGACATCTATCGAAATAAATGACAACAATAAATTCTCTGAACATGCTGAAACATTATTCAACTGAAATGGGTTCCAACCCTTAATCATAAAGTTTATACATGAAGAACCAGGAGGATAAACACTGGTCAGTTAGAATGTTTTTCTGTTTAAGTTCACAATTACTGTTCTTCTTATTCATTTTCAGACAAGTTGAAGTAAAAAAAACAGAAACACCAAACATAGATCTATACAGTTTCAATGAAATCGGTCTTATATGTTTCAATAACTTTAAAATATACCAATAATTTAACTAATTATTTTAAATCAGCGTCAATGTACTTAAGCGTTTTTGGAGATGTTTGTACTTACCAGGTGTACTTTTCAGCACAGATTCTTCTTGAAATTCTATTTTTGTTTTCACATCCGTATCATTATAGTTTGAACTATCCAGATCATCATTGTTGTCACTGAACTTTGAAATAATATCATTTTCTATCAGATCACAAGGATGCTCTGTTTTCTCTTGGACAAATATATTCTAACATCAAACAACATATTTAAAAGGTCAATAAAAATAGCAGTTAGTGTTATCATTACACATAGTCTCTACAGTTAATTAGTTTAAAACATGACAATATAGTTAATAAACCTAATGCTTCAAACTTAGTTATGTATGTAAACAGTACTAAAATATTTTTATTACCAGTTAGAGCTTTTACAGTAAGTAAGATTTGTTTTTAAAACAGGTACGATGTGTGATCATTCTCAAGTTTTATTGGTAAGGAATGTTTAGTATTTAAATCAACATTCAAAAATATAACAAAATAGATTGTTACATTTGGTTCTATCGGCTTTCTTTCTTTTTTCTCTTTAGTACAAGATATTCAAAAGTCAGTTATATAGATATAGTACCTGTGAGGTAAGGCTAGCAATTTAGTGAGATCTGATGACACCAAACACAGAGAATTTAATGTTTAGTGGCTAATTGGTTTTGAAAATTTATTATTTTTTCCTCTCTTTTTGATGTTTTTTTGCCTTTTTTTTTTCAGGATGTCTCAAAAGTTCGGCACACAAACAATGTTGTCCTGAAATGTGTCAAGAACATGGAGAATGTACAAGATTAGTGATTAAAGTGTAAATTAAAATCAACAGGGCTAGATCAATGCACTAGAGCCTCTAAGTTGACCAGAGAGAGGTCAAAACTAGAGGCACATAAAACCATCAAGTAATGTAAGTAACTGCAGATGAATGTGTTAGATGTAGTTCACATATTATTCTATATCTCTTGTCAGAATTAAAAGGAAGCAAGAGAAGATGTGACATGCCTGATCTGATGAGAGATTATGTTACAAATCATTTGTACAGATTTGGTCAAATATGTCAAATGTTGAGCTGATGATATGGCCGCACCTTTTTGATTACTGATTTGACAACTAACTACTTTCTATTGTAGTTAATATGCATCGTAGCGTAGGTACAGTGGATGAGGGTGATGGATCACAAAGACATTTTTTGTGTTCATCACATACTCTGCCAGTTACTACTGTTTCCATGCTTCCTGGTATCTGATTCAAAATCTAAAAGTTGTGTTGAAATCAGCTCAACTAATATAGCTAAACTGTTTACTAATAATTACTATTGCACTTTATGAGATTTATTGATTATATGTTTCATAATTTCCTTTTGGTCAAGTTTTTAGTAAAATATCCTACTTTTTCACAGCCACGGGTCTTAAAAAAGTGTCATGATTGCAGTTTGAAACAATTAAGTATCCAGTTTATTCATGTAAGTTCTATGAACACACAAAAAATTAAAATGATATGAAATTAAACAGTAGACTTAACTCATCTGATTTGAAATATTTATTTGGTAAATATAATTAAAATACAACAAGCTTATAAACATTGCATTCAATAAAAAGAATTCTATTAATGAATACAAAAATTGTAACTTTAAACAAAGATCCAAACATCAACAAGAAACCTTTATTAAGCCTTAAGCAATTTCATTCATGTGAAGTTTGTTTAAAACTGTATGCATATATATATTCCTGTTTCTAGGTAAACTACTTATATTGAGGATGACAGAACTAATATCTTCCCACTGAAGAAAAGTTTTGTAGCTTTAAAACATGTATAATTTAACACACAACTAGTTTCCCAATTTGCAACAAACAGAATTTTTAAAAAATTCTTAAACCTATATATATATATTTGTGTGTGTGTGTATGTATAACCTATTATTACGTAATGGTCTAATACTTGCTCAATTCAATCATATTTAAATTTTCTTTATAGCCGTTTTTCTAGCTATCAGTTTTTTATGTATGGGTGGACTAGATTCTTTACAGTAGGTATCTGTGACTATTTGGTGATAATTTTCAACAATAAACAAACAACACACAATCTACTTGTTTTAAAGTAATATATTAAAACAGGTCAAATGCATATACAAATGTTTGTTACACTGTTAGTTACCACAGTTGAATCCAGAGCTGTAAGTAATTTTTAATTGTCTTTTTTGTCAAAATCCACACAGGGGGGGTTCAATTATCTTAGAACACAATATACAAAACAAATTATTCTTCTCTACTCTGTTATTACAATACAATCTGTAATAATTTCATTTCAGAAATCACCACTATATGCTCTTTATGGCTAAACTCATAATCACGCAGTCTAGATCTATCTATCTCTATTAAATGAGTGTTATGATTTAGATAGTTTATATAGCACAAGTGTTACATTTAATTATTTTTAGAAGTGATAGTTTATCATAAGTTTGTTTATGTAACTGTTCATGAATCATACATTGAGTAGATCACTATTTATGAATTGATGGTTGTTATATTATTGTGTCATGTTACTAGAACCTTCTGAGTTTTTTGTTGTTCAACTGAGTGTTAATGCATCATAATATCTTGTAGTATGTGGAATGTTCTAGGCCCCTGTTAGTGTATAAATATGCATACAAAATGTAACATTAAACTTAAATTGAAAAAGTAATGTATATCTAACTATTACAGACACATTATCACCAATTACTCTCAACAATATGTTCAGAAAGACACAATTACAACTATATATATTATCTTAAATAGCACAACTGTAAAAGTTTTAATCTACAAATTACCTCACTTTTCTCTGTTGCTCCATCATAGTTATCTTCTTTCTCCTCTTTTATCATACCAAATTTCGAAATGGTATGTAGAGATATTTCTTTCAAGGAATCAACTTTTCCTGTAGCTAGAAATACAAACAAAGTAGATTTCTCTATAACAAGACTTTATAACTTATGCACAACTTAATCATAATCAATTCCAATACTTCCTGGAGATGATGAGAAAGACAACATTCCATGGAGTGAGCTGATGACACGTCTGTCAGAGAAAACCAGAAAAGAAGTTTTTACTGCTGCACAATTTACAGATTTGGACAAAGATGCTCTAACCACAGAAGAAATGGAAGAGGGTTGGGAGCAATGAATTACTGATGACATTGCAGGAAAGCCTTCTCAATGTGATAACTCCACTTTTCATGATGAGGAGCCAACCCCTTTGCCTGAGCTAGAATCACCATCCACCAACACCAAGTTGTGGAAGCACAACAATGGGCTTTTGTCCTAAAACAATTTGCATTTGAGCGAGGTTTGTCGGACATTCTAGACACTTTCATGACTTGCGAGGGTCAATTGCAACACTGCCAATGTAAATGTAACAAACAATCATCTAATAAAGACTTTTTTACAAAGTAAACACATAACCAATAACATAAACAATAAGTGTATAAGTCTGCTATACATGTATTTGTGCTAGTGACCTAACTTATGTGACATACAAATGCATGGTAACGTTTTACATGTGCATGTATTTTCATACCTATGAAATAGAAATAAATTTAAAAAACACACATTTCCTTGTTTCATCTATTTAATGTTTTTACAGTATACACAAAAACAGTGCTTACATACATGTAAAAAAATGGTTTTGAATGCATACACCAAACAAAATGGGAGGGCTTTAAAATTCAGAAATTTAGTCAATATGAAATCTAACTTTGTGTGGCTCATTTTTTATATTAAGGGCACCTTGTTATGGAAAGCATTTGGATACTGTCAGAAGGGTGCCCTTAATGTCGAGGGGCTACTGTATATCAACTAATAGACTAAAACTTTTGCTTTCTATTGGTTATAGCTAATATAGTATAATGTTAAAGAGAAATAGTGGCAAACTGAGAAAGAGAGGATGTGAGAGGTGGGTGTGGCAAATGGGCCTGATTTTTTAGTTTATAGCTCCAGTACAAAATAAGACTGAAGGCCTTAAAAATTACGCTTTGCCTGAGTAATATTTATATTATAATAAATAATATAAGTCAAAATCTCTATTTCTTGGAGAGATGGTAAATAAATTACAGATGAGGAAAGATCTAAAGAGCAAATGTCACAATTCTCACACTAGGGGAATGAGGATTTTTTAAATACTTCCTTATAACATTAGGAACTTACTTAATATTAAAGTTTGATTCATTAACTATGTTTTGATGCCATTTTTATTCTGAAACAATAATGATAAAGTAAACTGGAATGGACAGCAACTGCCTGTTGTAAAAACACAAGTATGGAGAGGACGTTTTGAAAGTCTTCCATCTTCAGGTCAGAGTTCCAGGTCTTTATAGTATCCTGGTGGATTGTGGTGGAAATGTTATAATTAGTTTGTTTATCACTGGTTCTCATTAGTGGAAAGGCTGCAGATGAAAGTGAGGAGATTTTCAAAATGTCATCCTCTGTACTTGTGTTTTTAAACCAGGTAGTTGCCATCCATTCTAGTTTACTCATCAGGAATACTCTGCCTAAACAATCTATCAAAGAATAATAAAGTAATATAATTAAATTTTGTATGTAGCTTTCTAAAAATTCATGACATGTGCTATTTGACTTGCCCATGATAAGAGGGTTAATACTGAAATAATTCCTTGATAGCAAAAACTCTAAATTGGACCATATATGTGGGCAACTAGGAAATCATTCAAGTGAAAGGAAATCACATAAGGACAACAACTGCTTAAATAGATCCTCTGAAGTTTACTTCAAGAACTATCACAACATGCCACTTAATGATTAGTTGATTTATATAAATTACCTAAGTTATTGTAGTTGTGTTTAAGTCATATTCAACTGTTTCATATTTGTTGCTGATTATTACTTCACACAACAATGAAGTGTTTCATATTTGTTGCTGATTATTACTTCAAACAACAATGAAGTGTTTCATATTTGTTGCTGATTATTACTTCAAACAACAATGAAGTATGTAACAGATCTCTTCTAAAATCCATTGTCTAATCCAAATATGTTGATCAATGATTGCCAACAAAACATCTATAGGTTTACATGGTCAGATACGGAATAAAACATCACTTAAAGAAAACGCTTCTAAAATAGCTAATACCTCACATGAAAAGTGGTTAAGTATAGAACTGTGAATAAATATGTTGCAACTACTGCACTGCATCAAGGATATTCAGAAATTTAGATCATATGATAATGAAAAAGCAATAAAAGTCAATTCTGTCTTCAAATGGCCAGTACATTAAAAAAAGAACAAATTTTCTAACACTGATTTTTACTAACAGTATATAGTGGGTTAATCCATCTCAGTTACTAGAACACTTACTTCATACTTGAAAGGTTTCAGGTTTAACCCCACTCACAGGTGATGGTAAAGAATAAGATAAGAAAAGTGTAACTAGACTCAGGTTCATCCAATCAAAGACTAAAATAACCATGAGAATGAAATCTAATTTTACTGATATACATTCCTGGGACAGAAAATAAAGTCATGCATTAAGAAAAAAGGTATTATCAATGAATAATGAAAAATGCAGACACACTTCTAAATTAAAACGGGTACAATTCACAATACGTATGTTTGGAAAAACACAAAACATTTAAATTCTTGATGTATTTACTTACTACTACTTATTGTGAAAGTTTCATGTTCATTTTTCTCCGACTTGATATCCAACAAAGTATCTGGCTTCTCATCAGAAAATGGTTCAACCTTCATCTTTAATACTTCCACAATTATACAGAAGCTTCACCTTTATATTAATTAAGTACTTTTACAAAAAAGGCCCCTTTTCAAGCCCTTGAAATTATGGACTTTCAAGGATGTGTAAGCACTGCTTGTTTTCCCGATATGTATTTTACCAATTCCACTAAATTTCGTGAGAAATGTGAAAATTGGAATCTTAGCAAATTTAAGACGGAATTTAAATACAGTAAAGCTAAAATTACTGGCAGAAAAGCCGATTTGATTAACACTTAAACAAAATAATATGAGCGATAACACCGTATCGGACTATTGTTTTGTAACATAAAAACAAGCATAGTTTCAATATGATGGTAAAAATATTGTTCCAAATTGCTTAATAAAACGATATAATTGTGGCTATTGAATGAAAATATTGATAATTATTAACTTCTGTTCACATTTAAATGCGTGTATCTGTCACTGACATTTTATAGGGCTAGTATAATTTCCTCAGGAGTGTCAACTACTGACTGGTTGTAGCGATTTATCCTTTTCAGTTCTCACTCGATTCTTCTCATGGGCTGTAGTGTAATTTGTCTTGTACCAAGCTGAAAACACTCGGAACGGCACCTGGTTTTACTTGTCTTCTTTGGGGTGAAGGTCCGAACAGCAAAACAAATAAATAAATATATATATTCTGATTAAGAAGTTAGCACACAGGATCATATACAAAAGTTGTAATGTTTTCAAATGAGACCCAAAACTCGAGCGCTTTCGAATAGTTGACTATTACTCTTCAGAAGAGTAATAGTCAACTA